AACAAGTACATCAGCTAGTAGTTTCATTATGTTAATATCAAAGTTCAGTTCTGTGCAGTCCAGATTTGTAAATAGTGTGCACCCACAATTTCTGTTGTGTAGGGTGGAAATATCACAAATTATAGTTTAAGCAAGAAAACCCTGAGTAAATGTATGTTGTATATATCTTTTCAAATAAAAATAGGTATAGTTATTCATTTTTATATTAAGGTTACTTTTTTTATGGAAAACAGAAATGCATGAAATTGTTGTCCTACTTTATCTTTTTTTTAATTATTATCAAAAGTAGTAAGTTGGAGGAAAAGTTTTCAGAGAAATTATTTAAATTTCTATTAAATTCATTTTGACGTTAGCTTACATTGAACATTTACAGTTTAAAGACAGTTCAGCTTATTGCATCTAGACAGTTCAATTTAGAGAACTGAAACTTTTCATATGCTTTATTTGTATAAAGTGTAATGTGTTTGTGTTTTAAAATTACTACCATTCCATTTAAAAAATAATAAATATTTAAATAATTAACATTTTCTCTCACTACATTTAAGTATTACATCAATAAAGATATAACTAAATGCTTGCATACAATGAGTTAAATCTCTGATCTATATTATAAAAAGAAATGGTGCTTATACTGAAAATATTTTGTTGCTGTCTGATTCTTAAATAATTCCTTAAATTCTTCACAAAATGTTGAATAGACAGCACCTCATTACGTAAGACTCAGTTCACCAATCCTGGCATAATCAGTACTTTTGCTGCATTTCAGCACAACTTATGGCTTTCAGTTGTTGCAGTTCTTATGTGATGTATGGTTTGAGATGTATTCGTTGTAGACAAAGATAACATGGAGATGAACTATTTCTTGTGTTGCCATGTGTGTGTGGACTAGCTTGATAGTTTGCTAGTTCTAAATATTAGTAAAGTTAATTCAAATAAATTAGTAATAATAATAATAAAATCAATAATTGGCTTTAAATATAAATAAATTGTGTTATTAAAAGTGTGATTCATAAGTGACTTAATAAAATGGATGATAATTACAATTCATCTTGTTCAAACCTTAACAGTGTATGTTCATTAAAGTTTATGATATAAAATAGTGCTTAAACCACTATTATGTCTGTCATATTCCAGCCAACCTGATAAGCCTTGGTATTGGATGAAAGGCTTCGTTGACACTGGATGTGACAGATGTAGTGTGGCTTACATAACATATTCTTCTTTACTTTCACTTAAAAGCTCCAAGAATAACTTATCTCGGGTATGCTGCCATAGAAAGTTTATTCTGTGCTACGCAGTTATATACACTGGATAGCCACTTTATTAGGACCAGTACCTAATAACAGGCTGGGCCACATTGTGCATGAATAGCATCCATTAAACAACTTGCTGTAGGATCCCTAAAGTGCTGGAAGGTGTCTTGGGGGATTTTTTCCCTATTCAGTCATAAATATTGTATGTAATTCACAGAGCAAGGGACAAAGGAAAGCAATTGTAAATGCATCCCTTAAGTTCATTACACAGATGCTCAATTCAGTTGAGATCCGGAGATTTTGGTGACCAAGGGAGCTCAGTATCTGTTCTCCTTACACCACTCAAGAGAAGGCTATCATAAAGTAATTATTATGGGGCTAACAAGGCAAAGAATGTATGTTTAGAAAGATGGAGAACCTTATAAACCAATTGGTATCCCAGGAAAATGACTCCATAACCAGAGACCTGGACTGTGAGATAGCAAATTCTATTTTTTTATGAGCATGGTTGTGTTTTTTGTTCATTTATTATTTCATTCTATGGTTTATCTGTGCATTTTTAGTTGCAATAAAATGCTAACTCACTTTCTACATAATCATTTATATTTTGAGTAACAATATATGTGTGTATGATGAAACTTACCTAGTAGTGATGTATAGATACTATTAATGTAGCAGAAGAGTATGTAAAATTATGATCACATGACGTTGTACTCTCATGACCTACTCTGTGAATAAATACCCTGCCAGAAGCTTCATTAAGAGAGAGGGTCACAAGATAGTTATTGAAGGGTATAATTATTGCTGTTTGTCACTCGATATTGATGTTGAAAGGTAGTGTTTGAATATTGTATTTGCTGTATTTTATTTTTTGGGGAATTAGTTTTTTTCTTTCTGGTTCTTTTTCCCGATTCCATTGTTATTTATTAATATTTATAAAATATTGTTTATTAATATTGGTGTGAAGTCCTGGTCAGGCATTTGTTTATTAACTGTGTTGTATTTATTTCTAAGTGTTGTTATTGTGAATAAATTGTGTTTTTGTTGTTGAACCCTGTTTGTAGCGGCATGTTCATTTTAGACCATTACAAACAAACAAACTGCGTACAATTTTGCGTACACAACCTTTCTCACAGGATTGGCATCATTTTTTTGCGGGGTAATTGCATGTTTGTTTCTCTTTTTTTTCTTCTTTTTTTGTTTTTAAGATCTATGTAACTCCAAATCATGCAGTGCAATATAGCAATTCTGTTGCTAAAAAAATTGCGTAACTCCAAATCTGCATTATAAAATGTCGCGTTATAGCAAGTATGCCTGTATTTTATTCTTTTAGTTAAGGATCCACTTCAATCCGAGTGGTGGATGGAGTTAGGGGGACTTGAAACAATTGTTCCCATCTTCAACAAATGGTCTACAATTTACATGCACTCTTCAGCCCAGCCAGGTGTACAGATTTCTGTACTGCCTTGAGAATATACTGCCTTTTACGAAGTCCATAAAGAAACACCAACACGCTAGCTTGAGACTTAGGAATAAAGGTTATAGTATGTAGCCTTTACCTATGTAAAAGGATTAGCACATGTTTACGACCTTGAAACATCCAGTCAATGAGAATGTCACAACTAGTCATAGAAACTGCGTGGAAATATTACTTGAATATACCTGAATAAAGACATATTCTGTACTAGTTATGGAAGAGTAAAATTCATAACTATTTTAGTCATTATCCAAATAGTCTCTTATACAGTGGTGTGAGATAGCAAGTTCAATTTTTTTTTAATTATGGTTGTGTTATCGTTCATTTATTACTTCTTTCTATCATTTAGTTTTTCTATGAATTTTTAGTTGCATTAAAATGCTAACTTATCTTCTACATAATCATTTGTATTTTGAGGAAATATATACGTGTGTGTGTGTGTGATGAAACTGATGACTCCTTTCCTAGCAGTGATGTACAGATACTATTAATGTAGCAGGAGAGTATGTAAATTTATGATTACAAGAGATTGTGCTCTCTTGACCTACTCTGTGAATAAATACCCTGCCAGGGGTTTCATTAAAAGAGAGAGAGTCATAAGATAGTTATTGAAGGGTATAGTTATTGCTGTTTGTCTCTCAATATTGGGTTCGCATCCCCATCCCACCAAACATGGTGTTTTGTGGCGTTATATATTTCCCTGTTATATCTTAAGAGAGGGCTTTGAAGCAGGCAAAGCAGTCCCGTAGACCCAGAACGCTTTTTTCCGTGCATCTAGAAAGGAGTTTACCGACCAACTCTACCAGGAATGTTCTGCAGGCAAGCCATGGATCGGCCAAGGCTGTACCTGATGGGTGACTTGGTCCCCTGTCTTGACCCAAGAGAG